TAAGAAATTGACTTTACATTACTGTTGAAATGTTCTGGTTTACTGTACACAGAAATTGCTTTTTTCTTCTTCTTCTGAGCAGAACTAGAGTTTGAATGAGAACCTATAAGCTGGTCTTTTGCAGAAAAAGAAGTCTGACAGTCTGGAACTCCGGAGATATTCTTAGTTGGTCTGTGAGCCAGTTGTGTCTGTTGTTCTTAAAAAGCTGAATATACATTAAATATATTTTGTTTCTACATGTGGAAGCACAAGGGCACATTTGTGTGAGGCATACAGACAGTTTGCAAGTGAACTATTGACAGTCTGATGGCTTTCTTGTTTTAAAACGACCCATAATTGTAAGAAAACATAGAACAGAGATCAGCTTAAGGTTACCACTATGTCCAACCTTCATGTGTTTGCACGACAAGGCAGTGTCTAAAAATGCACAGCTGTGTATGTGTACGCATATATGCCATGCTCTTTTAATGGTTCACTAATCCCAAGTGCATTTGGCAGACAAATTAATCCAAGCCTTGTCATAGCCAAGCTCTAAACCTGCCCCCCGCATGTATCCCGTAGACCCATCTCCATCTCTCTTTGGATCTCTCCCCGGGCTTTACTGTACCAGTATGCATCTCCAGATGGCATCGTGGAGGTAGGTGTGATGTGAGATAGAGAAGGAGAGACAGACAGCAAACAGAGAGATGGTGGGAGACCTGTGACGGACAAAGCCTCCTCATTGGAGCAGAGAGGAAGCGAGACAGAAAAGATAGAGACAGACAGAGAGAGTTATAGAGAGAGAGAGAGAGAGAGAGGAGGGGTGTTCATTTGTTGCCATAGTGAAAAAGTAGATTAACCACAGTGAGCATGATGCCGTGATGCACTGGTGAGGGATGCTGTGTTTCTGTGGGAGTATTCACCCCTGCAAGCTGAGGTATGTGACTCTTAACTTCTTTTATTTGGTATGCACAGTTGAAAACAACATTTTACACGCATTTAGGTGACCTAGTCCAAGCAACTCATCATGCATTTCAGAGATGTAAGTATTTCCAGATAACTCTCTGTTTCTTGGACACCTTTGGGAATATTTCTTTGCAAAAGGAAAACAAAAATCTAAAAAAAAAAAAAAGCCCCAACAATTGCAATTTGAAAATGTTGTTTAGAGCCAATACCTGATCCATAAATTTATGAGCAACATTAAGCTGCAGTTTGTAATTGTATTTTCAGACAAAACTGTTTCTGAAATCTTATTGTCTGCATATTTAGCCACAGTGGAGGTCAAGCCACACTTCTGGCTTTCTTTCGCACAAAAAGCAAGAAAAGATGAAAAAAATATTATAGAAACAGTCATATATTTTGCATTCGTAGGATCTGAAAAGAATATATTTGAAACACTAATTTTCTTAGAGTCTCAAGAAGCTTGTTGTGTCTGGCAGCTTCTGTGTTGTCATTGCATAATGGAGACCATAGTGAGATGCTTCCATTAGATTTGCATTGACTTCTTTATCATTAATGATTTAATCTCTGTGGCTCTGTAGCTGGATGCCAAACAAATCCGTATAGGTTAATGGCTCTTTTACTCTCATGCGACCGCATTGAAACTTCAAATGTTAATCGATCTCCTCCTCTGCGTCGTCATCTCAGCCCATGGAGTCACCTCTGGAGCCTGTCTCATCTGTGAGAAGAAAGAGATACACTCAGTCTATCTTGATCCGAAACATCTGATTAAACGCACATAAACGGGCAATTACAGCATAATAAGCTGACATCCACCTCTTTTATAGAAGGCATTAAAAAATTGAAAAATCAAGAAATCATAAGCAAAAGACACAGCTGAGAAAAAGAAACAATGAAGGCTTTGATTTTTGTTCTGCTTGCTGGTATCCTAATATCGACTGATATCTTGTATAACAAAATTTGACACAGCCTATTAAAGAAATCAAATTAGCTGCTCTGATTGACAAAATTAGGCACTTAAATGTGTCATAACTGCAACCAGTTTCTATGGCAAGCCATAGTAGCATATGATCAGCCAGCAGTCTAAACTCCATATAAACACTGTGATCAGGGTACAAAGATGAGTCCCTGTGTAATCTGCCTCTGGCCCTTCACAAATCACCAACAGAGAAGGCTGAGAGTTTTCGAAAACGTCTCCTCTTATGCAGTACCATAAGTGGCACAGTGCAGAGTGCCAAGGAGCCCTCTGTGTGAAATCAGTGTCCAACATCTCACCTGTATCATTATTTGTTTTGAACAATACAAAAATTGCTTATGGGTTAAATTAGTTTTTTATATCTTACTCGGCCGACGTACCTAAAATAACAACACTGACATTTCAGTTCCACTGATTTTATTAGTGAAAAACTGTTTGTCAGCTCATAACTTTTTAAAAGTGGCTGCATTGTTTTTAGTAGTCTGCTGATTTTTATAGTAATGTTATGTTTTACTTGAGGTGCTGCTGGGTACCATTTAGAAAAACGAACCATTTCAATGGCTGTGGTGGAGCGAACGTCAGGAAAGTCAATCTTTTCAGGCTGCCCATGGTGTCAAGGAAGAGTTTCGGTTTATCCATGTTCTCTTTCATAATAACCTATAAAGTTACTCTAGAAGAGGCGAAAAGAGGACGACATCATTTATGCTGTTTATCTGTCTTAATTTAACTTTAACTTGAATAAAGTCGCATAAACATCCCACCCAACATCATCAGTGTTCCAGTACTAAGTTAGAAAACCAGCTGCTTGCTGTCTTAGTATTAGAAATTCTTGCAAATAATGTTTCACACCATTTTGTACAATCAGTCTCATGGTGAACAGCGTTTGTTGCACATACTTCAGAAGACAGATTTGAAATATAGGTGCATGGTTGGCCTGAGGGCTGCACAGTGGCGCAGTTGGTAGAGCTGTCGCCTTGCAGCAAGAAGGTTCTGGGTTCGATTCCTGGCCTCAGTCTTTCTGCATGGAGTTTGCATGTTCTCCCTGTGCATGCGTGGGTTTTCTCCGGGTTCTCCGGTTTCCTCCCACAGTCCAAAAACATGACTGTCAGGTTAATTGGCCTTTCCAAATTGCCCCTAGGTGTGAGTGTGTGTGTGCATGGTTGTTTGTCCTGTGTGTCTCTGTGTTGCCCTGCGACAGACTGGCGACCTGTCCAGGGTGTACCCCACCTCTCGCCTGGAACGTGAGCTGGAGATAGGCACCAGCACCCCTCCCGACCCCACTGAGGGACAAGGGTGACGGAAAATGGATGGATGGATGGGTTGGCCTGAACTATGTTCCAGCTTCAAACTTGGAAAAACTGTGACATTAGCTAATTAAACTCTGCACTCAGCTATTGCCCTGTATTGCCTTGCAGCAAGAAGGCCCTGGGTTCGAAATCTGGCCCTGGAGTTTGCATGTTCTCCTTGTGCATGTGTGGGTTCTCTCCATGTACATAACTCCCCCAGTCCATAAACAAGACTGTTGGACTATTTGGTGTGTGGAGTCAGTGTACTCTGCGGCTTTCATTGGAGAAAGGCACCGGCTCCATTACAACACCGCAAGGATTAGCTAGACTGTGAATGGACAGACTTAAGTTACCTCACAACAAAGATAACGTTGGATGCCAATATTGTTGTTGAATATTGTTGCAAACTAAATTTTCCTCACTACTCTCTTTTCTAACATCACAGAATCCCCTCCACTTTGTCTGATCTTGACTGCTAAGGAATATATCAGTTGTGGTTATAAAGGATGGTGAAAACTTATTCATTGTGCTACATTAATTATCAGAGAGCAGAGTTTTATGCCATAGCTGCTGAAATATCATAGCCTACCAAATATTCAACTGAAGTGATCCATTGGACATACTGATAATGAGATGGCCATTGCAATTCAATATGTACTTAGGCGTAATTGTAACACTTGAAGAACATATTCACTTTTAAACATGCAGTATGAAGTCTATATTTAACACAATATAAACAATCTGAAGCAGTTTATTGTTTATTGTTTAGGCTATTGCTGGACTTTATAGCGGCAGGCGTCATATTAGATTTTGTAGTTTGGTTAGATGAGAAAGCTCCAACCTCATCAGAATATTTAGGTAAGTTCATGGTTTTTCAAATACACCATGATACAATATGTGCCAAATAAGATAGTAAGCATTACAAAGAAATCAATACACACTCTAAGATCTGCTTGGCTAAAACAAACCAACACATTTGGGATTATCTTGCTAACCACACATGCTAAATGTATACAGGTGTAGGCATATTTAATACAACAGGACTGAGACAAATGGGAAAATGTAAGGCAGAAATATAGAGACACTTCCACCTGAAGACAGTTTGGGGTGACTAAGACATGTTTTGGGGCTGTGAAGCTGTAGCGTACCCAGAGATGACCCACACATTCACATGGAAAACAACACATTTATCACCAATTATTTAGAAACCTTGTTACCCTGTAGACTGAAAAATCGACCCAATGTTTGATTAAAAGTGGCCAGACTCTACTCCAACTAAATGCCCCAGGTATACACCTGCACAGCCAACTAAAACACTGAACACTCACACCTCACTGGGTCTGTACGGGACAGGAAAGTGGTGCAAGCTAAAAGCTGACTGTTTGTAGCTGAGCTGTAAAAAAAAAATTTGGAGAAGAATGCTTCAGAGAAGCAGCTCTGCTGAATGAATATGAGCAGCAGCAGAGGGGGTCGTGGAGAGCTGGAGGGAGAGGGGTAAGAGGGGGGGGGGATAATATGAGGGGAGATGTGCTGAAAAGAGGAGGAGCAGAGGGGTGTGTTGAAGGAGAGAGGTGTTTGGAGAAGAGGCTCAGGTGTGCGTGACTGGAAAACGGAGGAAGCTTCGGAAGCTGCACAGCGATCTGCTGCTGCTGCTGCTGCTGCTTTCGGGCTGCTTGACATTGGGGTATCGGCAGTCTCTTTCGCCTGTGGCGGCAGCATGCATCTTAATTGTGAAGCGGGACCGTGCGGGTGATTTCAGAGAGACATGACGGACCCCATGAGGTAAAAGATCTGAGTTAAGATTTGAGACAAATACGCCTGCAATGGAAGAAAAATGTAATTTATTCACTAAGGATATACTCAGTGTTCTGTTTTCTGACTGGAAAATATTTGTCGCACTTTTCTTGCATTAACTTGCGGTAACATCTGGGTTTGCCATGTCTCACTTAGAAGGTAACCTAGTTTATGGAAACATCCCGTTCCTCTGGTGTTAGTGGGGACACACACAGTCGCATCAGTGAGACTGAGGGGGGGACTGAACCCCGCTTTTCATCCGTGCATGTTGCAGCAGTGTTCATTTCAGACGGTGTCTCTGTCATGTTTTTGCGCCCTTCGGTCATTATAAATCATGTTTAGTAAGACTGGGTGCAAATGTTGGGCTCTTATCGTATTTTGCGGTAGGGCTGTTGCAGTGCTGCGCCAGTCCTTCTCCTTGGAGAGCCAGGCACTTTGACCAGACGCGGCTCGTCACTGATTAATTAAGGGCTTGCAAAATGTCAGATCAGTCTGGTAATTAAACTCAGAATACATGCATGCAAAAAAAAAAAGAAGGAAAAAAAAGATATTTGGTATCTGCATAGCGGCTATCAGACGAAAGTCTAAACGGATTGCAGGAGAGGCGACAAAAAGTCAATGGTTTTTCGGTGAGTTATGCATTCTATTGCACACCTTTTGTGATGTTTGCATCAGGTAGCGGTGCTACCTTGCTATTGACACATGTGGTCATATTACTGAGATTGTGTAACAACCATTTAAGCCTGCCAAACTGAACAGCAGCCTTACAGGTGCATGCTCTCAGCCATGAATGCCTGAAATTCTCTATTTAGAAGAAAGTGCACACCTGAAAACAAACAACTCCCCCCTACCCCCCTAATTTCCTTTGGCAGTATTTTTAATCTGAGCTTTGGAAATTGCTCCTAAAATGTCGCAGAGGTCATCCCAGAAATGAAGTGATGATCTTTATTGATAACCCCTTGAATTAAAAAAGAAAACTTCTAAAATATTGCTTTCCCTGGATCTCTGGAGAAGATAGCCCCCTCACTCAGGAATAAACACACACTGCCAAACGCCCACTCAGCAAAACGGCAAAAGCCTTCCTTGAATGGGGGAACAACAGGAAAAAGCAGAGTGACCCATTTACATTTTGGAGACTAATTCCAGAAGCAACATGATATAATGTCGGTGTTGCCTATTGTTTTTTAAGGGGTCCTATGAAATGTAGCAGTGTGTACACATTTGCCCTTAGAGAATGAGTCTGTGCAGCAGGAGAGTGAAGCGCTCACTCCAACAGGGTGATAACAGAATGGACCTCTTTTAAATTCATGTGGGTGGACATGCATCCATTTGTGAATGGTATATTGGGTGCTTGCTTGCGCTTTTTCCATCCTGTGTTTTTTCCCCAGTTTGGGTAGGTGAATAATTGCACGCAGCTTATTGATGTACATTCGCCGTTTGATGATTCCCCCTTACCTCTGATCTGCTGACAGGAAAGAGCACAATGGGGTTTGCATTGAAATTCTGCATATGATGAAAAGAGCTACTCCGGTTTAGTTAAATTCTCCAGACACTGCCCAGTGTTGCACTTGTCTTAATTACAAACACAACTACCTTAACTACGCAGAACAGAGAGGGAAAGAAAACTTCATTTTTTCATATCCTGTGGAAGGTAATGTCTTCTCCTTGCAACCTAGTAAAATAAAGGTTTTCTCAACACAGACAGCAGCACTAATAAGATGCACTGTATTAAAGTAAGGCTGCAAAGTAGAGGAAGTTTTTTTTTTGCATCCCTTTATGTTGGTGTAGAAGTTATTTCATTGAGGTTTATTGTACACTTGTGAGTATTTTAGATAGAACTAAAGGTATAACTGCTTAATGGTGTGCAAGAAACGTTCCTTTAGGGAATGAGTTGACAATTAAGCCTTAACAACAAGACAGCAACATGGAAGAGAATGATACGGGAACCCAGTAAGCGACTCAGAGAATTGCAAATAAAAACGGGGATTCTTGTTGGGAGAGATTGCTATAATCCACTTCATTTCACAGCAACCCTTTAACACTGGCATGGGGGTGATGCATTTGATTTTACCCTGAAATTTCAGAGGAAAGCCCAGTGGACAAGGAGGGGCGCAGATCATTTCAAATTCAAAAACATGTACTTGAAATTATGTTTCATCATACTAGTTTAAATTTGGTAAAAATTCTGAATTTTCTGTAGCTGCTGTGAACAAAAACCTGAAGTTATAGCTGGAGAAGATTGTCATGTTGTAATCCTGACCCGTGCTGCTTTTAAGTGCTTGGAAAGAGGGAACCAAAAGCAGAGTTGGAGTCAAACGCCAGACTATAGAGCAGGGGTCCCCAAACTACGGCCGCCACGTCATTTGGTCCGGCCCCCTGAGCAATGCCAGATCCGGCCCGCCTCCTCGTACCAGAGAGCATTCAGTGTTTTTTTTTCATATATTGTATTTTCTGGTTTATATGTGGATTTTTCTTCAACCACCAGGGGGGCTCTTGAGCAGATGTGAAACTAACTTTCCCTCAATGGAATATATACTAGTCAGTCCCAGTCACCGTTTCACTCACGGTTTTTTCCATTTGCATTCTGGGTAAAAATCTATCTAAAAGCGCGAATGTGTCGCCGCCGCCTCCCCCCCACTCCCGTCGACAAGAATTTTCTAAGGTTTCTGTCTCCAAAAACTAAGACCGGCCCCCGACCAGAGAAAGGAACAGCTATGTGGCCCTCGCAGGAAAAAGTTTGGGGACCCCTGCTATAGAGGTTTAAAGGAAAGCAAGAGGAAACTTGAAGCCGTAGTCGAAGAGACGATGGAGATGAAGCTTCGTAGCAGACGAAGGTTTGGGAGCTGGCCGAGCTGGAGCTGAGGACAGAGAATCCAACAATTAGAATAACTTCAACAAGCCTGAAGTTATTCAGAGGCCAGGACCAGTACCGTCACTGAACCTGAAGATCTACTGATGAGTGGATGTAGAAAAGGAAATTTATGGAAGGAGGTGATCGGAAACAGTTTCGCCAAAGTCCCAAGGAGAAGACCGCCTAGCAAGTTGGCCTAGTCATGACACTGTTTGTGTCTCCTTTATATTTAAAGCCAAGTTTAATCTAATTGGATGAAGTTTGGAGAAAATTGTAATATGTATGAGTAAACATGATGGACTACAGTTTTATTTCTATAAGATCACAAATTTTGATTTCTGTGAGGGAGGCCTGTATGCCATCTTCACGGTTGAAATGCCACCATCAAACAGCATTGAAATCGAAATGGAAAAATACTTAAAGGAAAATTAATTAAATGTTGTTGTAACTCATATTATTCAAGATTCTCCAAAGAATTGTTGCAGATGGTGATGGCAGTGAGTAGGAAGTGTCTCCTAGAGCAGTCTGTATAACAATGAATTTGAAGAAGCCTCTGACTGAAGACTCTTTGTTTTTCTGTAACAGTATCATGAAGAGAATGCTCAGGGTTCTCCACAATTTTCTTGATTTTTCTGAAGAATCCTTATTTACTCTATCCTCTCCAGAGGTGCCACAGTAATCCCCAAGACAAAACTAGCCTTCTTCATGATGTGGTTTAGCCCATTGAAGTCCCTGGTTCTGATGATGATCAACCCCCGCCCCTCCCCCAACAGATGATGGCAGAGGAGATGACACTCTCAACAACAGACTTATAGAGATACGCAACATCTTGCTGGAAACTTGGAAGGATCTAAGCTTCCTCTGCTGCTTCAAACTGAAAAAAAATAAATAAATAAAAAAGAATTCTTGTATGCACGAACATGAAAGTATTTTTTTGCTTTTCTGATATAAAAATATGATGATAGTACATCATTACTTGTGTATTCAGCTGAAACCTACGGCTCTGACACTCTGACATCCCACACATAATCAACAATCAACAAAACTCTAGATCTGTCACGGCTCAGGGACGGATCGAGCCGCTGCTGAGACGCGAGTGACACGCAGCAGGCCTGCATGGTCTAATCTGTTGATATTAGAGCCAAAAATGAAAATCTGAATGTTGTGAACAAGCAACATGCTGCCACTATGAAACCGGACCGAGACCTGAGGCGTCTTTTTAAACCTCGGCACTGGTTTGCTCATGTGTTTCACCAGCAGACAAGGGCGAATGGGAAGCGGAGGGAGTGAGAAGCAGAGACTGACATGCAATTGCATCATAATTAACTGGGAGTACGTGCACAGCACAGCTTAGTTTGGCTTTTTTCATTCATTATTGGAGCAGCAGTGAGCCTTCCCGCCAGCTCGACACGCCCATTTTGATTCAAACAGACTACATCTGGGGATGTCTGTTAGTTACAGCTCGTGCTTTTTTATTTCTTTTGTCTCACCCTGACTTTTATCTACAGTTTTCGCCAAACGTCGTCTCTGTCTTCTCATTCCGACTCATACCGCCTTGGTCCGCAACTCGGCGTTTCTTTCTACCTTTCTAGATTGGCTGATTGTATTGAAGTAAAGCATTGGTGACGTAGTGATGTCAAACCGAATGCTGGAGACATGCAGGCAGATGGCTAATTAAAGGTTCGCTGAATGGATGTCACTTCTGTTCCCACAATTTAACGGACTGTTATTCCCCACTCAGATTTTTAGGGCGAGTTAAAAAATTTCTGTTGCATGCATGCATGTTGCAACTCATTTATTACGCATATAGTAAAATTGATGTAACTGCTAACTGTTATAGCAGTGACCTGATAAGCCGCTCTGGCTGTGCTAACATTGATTTACTCACCTCAGCACATTATTTCTTCTAATTAATTCAGATCCACTTAGGTATTGTCTGTCTATCAAAACGAACAGAGCATGATATCTCTGTTTTCAACTCTTTTTTTTTTTAAAGTGGGCTACAATGTAAAATTGACCTTTTTTTTTTTTTGTTTTTTTGCTTTTTTTTTTTTTTTAAATTTTTTTCCCTTTCAAAAAAAATACCGGGAG